TTTTACACTGTTTCTATTGGGTTTCATCTCTAGCCTACCCCAACTTGTTTGGGACTAAAAAGCTTTGTTGTTGTTGTTTTATCTCCAACACGGCTCGCACTTTCTCGGGGTTCACCTTAATCTCCTTCTTGATCACCATGTACCCGAGAAATTTATCTGATTTCACCCTGAATGAGAACTTAGCAGGATTGAGCTTCATACCGTACTTCTGCAAAGTAGTGAATGTTTCCCTTAGATCGGCCACATGGTCCTTCTCCTTGCTTTTGACCATCATATCATCAACATAAACCTCTATGTTTCGCCTCAACTGCTCCTTAAAAATTTTATCGACCAGATGCTGATATGTGGCTGCTGCATTATTCATACCAAAGGGCCTGACCACATAACAATCTGTTCCCGTGCTCGTCACGAAACTCACCATTTTTTTATCTTCCCTTGTCAACGGTATTTTATGATAACCAACCTTAGGCATCCATCAAGTTGAGAAGCTCGCACCATGCCGTGGAGTGGACGAGCTGGTCAATTCCTCGGTAGTGGATATAGGTCCTTCAGGCACGCCTTGTTCAAATTCATGAAATCGATGTACATCCTCCACTTCCCTGAAACTCGGACGTCGTGACTGTTATCGACAACCACTCAGGGAATTCGATTTCGGCCACAGGCCCAGCCCTGAGCAGCTTGTCGTCATCCTGCTCTATGACTTTGTCCGTTTATGCTTTGTGGTGTCTCTGCTTTTGGTGCACAGTTCGAACACTAAGATCGATATGCAACCTGTGCTCAATGATTCTCGCATCAATTCCTGTGAGCTTCTCCGTTGTATAGAAAAAGATGTTTGCAAAATTCCCTTATCGACCTTATAAGCCCCGACCGCAAAGGCTCCTCCAAGTCTCTACCAATACAAAATTTTCTCTCGTCATGCCCCTCGATCTTCTAGATCTCCTTAATCTCACCCCCGGGTTGGATATCTACTTTTTTTTTGTTCTTGGTCAAGCTTGGGCCTATTTTTTTTCGATCTAGAACCGCTTGATCAATTCACAATCTTCTCCTTAGGCATAATCGATTTCCCTTGAATTGCTCCTATTCACGCTAACCGTTGTTTGGTAGCATGACCTCGATGTTAGTTGGTCACCAGAAACCTCCCCCACACTCTGTACGACTGGATACTTGATCGTCATGTCATAGGTTGAAACAATTGTTCTGAAAACCGAACCGTACCGGTCGGTTGGACCGGGAACCGGCCTTCATTCCGGTCCAGTTCGAGCCTTCAAACCGCAATGCAGGAGAACTATGAACCACTCCAAAACCGGTTGAACCGGTGAACCGTGACCGGTTCGAATGGTTCACCGGTTCAAGCTTATGAATTTGAACTTGGTAGATTGTGAAGTGGTTTAATATAACACACCTTTTTTACATGTATTTCCTATGTTATATATGTTTCCTTGCTTAAATTATTGGGCTAATATTTGGCCTAACAAGTAAAATTGTACTCACTAAACTATCTATTGTTGTTTGAAGTGGATTATCTATTGGGTTATATTTATTCCCAATATTTTTTTAAAAAAAGAATCAATTTATTTTATTGTTGTTTGTTATGCACATTATTATTTATTTTTTAATCTATAATAAAAAATTTAAAATGTGATTTAAAAAATGAAAATTGAGTTGTTTCTAGTCTTTTAATTTTGTAAATTAAATATAGATTAAAATTTGAAATATAAATTTAAATAAGAAAAAAAGTTAACGACATTATTCAACATTGTCGGTTATATATATTATTGAACTTTTATTTAGAGAAATGTCATACACTATAAAATTAATAATAAAAAATATATATAATTATATATTATACTTATAAAATAAATAAAAAATTATATATCAATTAAAACAGTTCGATCGTTGGTCCGACCAGTGAACCATTAAAGTATAGCTTCACCGGCTCGATGAATGATTCGGTTTTCAGAATCATGGTTGAAACTACCGCCTGAAAAGTGTTCTGGCTAGTCCTACCCAAAATGATGTTATATGACGAATGTGAACCAACCAAAACAAATCTCACCATATAACTTTTCTGGTTGCACCCGATCCCAGAGCGATTGGTATGGTTCTCTCTCTCATACGAACCAGCTCACTACCATTGAATCCATACAAGGTGGTTATGACCTCTTTTAACTCCAAGTCCAGATTAAGTTGCCTGAAGCAATTATAGAACATTACATCGATCTAGTTGTCAGTGTCAATGACGACTCTCTTCACATCATATCCTGCCACCTCGTCCATTATGACCAAGGCATCATTTTGGGGCACAAGAATCTCTTCCGCATCCTCAGCTCGAAAGCTGATCACTGGCATTCAAGTTTTGATCCTGACTCCTTCTCTCTTCTATTTGGCTACTCTAGCTTGCTCCTTTCTGGTATTATTGGAGTCTCCATTTGTTGCCCACCATAAATCATGTAAATAGTACCTATTTTGCAAAATCCTCCTGGCCTTCTCGACCTCCTTCTCGCATTGTCTTGTTTTCTTCCCCACATCAACCTCCTCGATCACCTTGTCCTTCTCCATCCTCTTTATCATCATTCTCATCCCTATCACCCCTTTCAACAGAATCCTCTCTATACCTCTCTTTCTCTCTCTTCGGCTTGTCATGATACACGAATTCCTTCAAGTGTTCAGCACTAATCGAGCGCTCAATCTCATCCTTTAAATGTCTGCAATTGTATGACCATAATCCTTATGAAACCTGCAATATCGACCTAATTTGGATTGAGTAGGTCCTTCTCTCTGCGACTTTGGCCAAGTGACATCTCGACCTTCTAATTTTATCTCAATCATTTTAAGCACACATATCATTTGTGTCTTCAGTGGGGTGTACTTGGTATATCTGTGACCAAGCTGAAGGGGTTGATCCTTCCATCTATCCTCTCGACCCCTCTCCAACCTATTCTGCTTGTCCCCCCTGGGTGAGTTGGCCATTTCCTTTTCAGCTCAAGTCGGGCCAGCTGCTCCAATTTGGCAAACTCCTCCTCTATTTCCTCGAGGTTGACATATTATTTGCACCGTTTTGGCACATCATCATAAGTGTGAGATGGCGTCTTGGTGAGAGATCGTCGACAAGGACTAGCCCGCAAGCTCCTTATCAATCCCCCAGCCTTGACGTCTTTCGAGGCCGTCGAAATCTCCACGCATACTTGATTAAATCAAACACCATACCTCCTCAATGGTTTACCCTCTTTCTATCTCATCGCCATCAGAGTAAGGTAAGTCTTCTCCTAAGCAATAACAATCGCATACTAGTTCAACATCATCTTTGAAAAATCCTCAAAGTCCTTCACCGACCCCGGGGGAGTTGATGAAACCAATATAGTGCTCCTTCCCTCAAGGTCGAGAGGAACGCCCAACAACTTACTACATTAGAGTACCCATGTAACACAACCATGTTTTCAATGATCTTACACGCCTCGACGGGTTGGTTGACCCGTCGTACGTCAAACTCGTCTCTCGAAAGTTGGTTGGTAATGTTGCCTCCAGAATCTCCCTCGAGAAAGGATGTCTTCGAGCTCGACCGACCTGCTTACTACAACCTTGGCTTGTAACCTATGTTACATGGACTCGGGTATGTGTGTCGGAGACGGGTACATATTCAAGTATCTGGTATTTGTATTTCTAAAAGTTAAGATTTGGGGACACGTACCCATACATGGACACGGGTACGCGGGTACAAAAGTCAATGTAATAAAATTAAATATTTTAATGTCGATCATTACAAATTTAGATTCATAATAATTTAGAACAAATATATTACTAATGCAATATTAACATAAAAAGAAAAAGCGATACTTACAAATATATTACTCATGCAATATTGAAATAGAAAAAAAAAAACAATAAATCAACATTTAACTCAATTTTCTACTCATCATTTTCGTCTGTCTCCACATCCAAAGATTCATCAAATGTAACCGTTTCTAGGTCCGGTTCATTGATAGATAGATCAGCTAGTTGGTCCATATCTCCATCAATATCAAATTTGTCTCCACCTATAAAATAATATAAATGAAAACATATTATATGAGTAAATAGTTTAGAATACTCAAATAAAAGTAACTTACAAATGTCGCAATATCGTGAAAGTCCTTCCTTATATGAATGCTTTTTCCTTGACAAGAGTCTCACGTTGGCATGGACATAAACCATGTCTTTGGCTCTTGAACTCTTTATCTTGTTCTTCACATTTTGGACCTGTGAGTATGTACTCCAATTTCTTTCACAACATGATGACGATGAGTAATTTGAATGCCAAAGATTGCAACAACTTTGCACTTGATCCGTAGTTAGCCCACCGCGAGATTGGTTCTTCGCACACCCTTGCCTCTTTAATGAAAGAATCACTAAACAAACCAGTTGCACTGGAAAATCCGCCATATTCCATACACACTTTTCTAAGATCATTTGGATCCTCGAAAATTCTCTTGAAACACTTCATTCTATTCATTGAAACTTCTTGATCTTCATGTGGTGTCAACCTTTGGACACCATCTCCGTCTTTAAGCCAAGAATCGGTATAGCATTTCGGTACAAGGGAATGTGTCAGGCAATGTAACGGGGTATTGCTTTTGTTCCATCTCTCCTCTAGAATTTCGTGAATGGCGTCAAAAAAAGTTGATTGACCAACGAGCAAATCTTTCTCCTCATGCCTGAAAACAACAGCTTTGATTTCCTCTATCATCGATCTCACATATCGTATACAAGATGAAGAATATGAGAATCCGTATCAGCAGCCCGTATAAAATCTATGATAGGTCTAGTGAGATTCAATAGATAGTCAAGCGTATCCACCACTGGTCATCAACAATGCATTGCTTCACTTCACGAGCTTTACTACCAACGGCACTCGTTCCATCTCATTTGTATGTTTTCCACCTTTCATCCATGATCATGCTCTCTACGGTCAACCATGATAATCCCGGATGCAAATCGAGTTTCAGTAATTTTTAATAACTTTAAAGATGAATAGTTTTTAAAAATTGCATGTGCCATGTCATGATTCATAATAAAATTTCTGATGCTTTGACAATCAACAATCAACTTAGAAATCCAAGCACAATGAACATACGCACCTATGTTTTCAGGAGGATCACACATCTATTTCAAGGCTAGATTCAAGCTATGGACCACACAAGATGTCCAAAAGATATGAGGATACTTAAGCTCAATTATCCCACCAGCCGCCTTGTAGTCACTTGCATTGTCCGTTATGACCTGTACGACATTATTTGGTCCAGCATCTTCGATTGCACGGATGAAAATGTTGGCTACATACTCAGCATCTTTCACTTCTCCAGTTGCATTTGTGGATGAAAGAAACAATGCTCCACTTTCAGAGGCTGCCATAATATTAATTAATGGATTTATCTGTATATCAGACCAACCGTCAGAACAAATAGATAATCCTTTTTTGTTCCAACTTTCTTTGATATGATGAACTTTCACATTAATATGTGCCTCATCTTGCGCAAGAAGAGTAGTGTGCAGTCTAACATAACTTGGAGGTATATAGCCCGTTATTTTGCTATTTGCCAAAAACAATGAATATTTCCTGAATTGAGGGTTGCGTACAAGGTTGAATGGCAACGCACATGCATAGATCATCCTTGCGCATAGCTTATTAGCAGTATCACTGTCAGCAACATTGAATGCTTTTTCTAGAGCACATGGCTTTCTTTTTTTCTGCTACAAGAGATCCGTGCCATGTGGCAAACTAAAATAGTCAGCTTGTCTTCTAGCTCGTATTTCTTTATTAGCCTTTTTTTCTGCATCTTCATGTTCTTTCTTTATAACAACAGCAATATCATCCGAAATTGAGTTGCAAATGGTGACACCGCTTCCAGAAGCCTTAGTAAGTGAGTCATCTCTTTAGAATACGATCCTGTAACTTTCTTGTGACAATAGTTACAAGACCATACTCTATTTCCTCCTCCGCCACTTGCCAAGTTAATAACTTTTACATGATTCCATAAAGGAGTATCATCAAAATCATTTTTTTGTGGGTTTAAAGGTCTAAGGGTATTTTTTTTTTTTTTCCTTTGTTGGATGAAGACATTTTGAAATCGAAATTTTTGTTTACTATGTAAAATTATTCATTTGAAAGATGATTTATATAAGATAAATAGTATGAGTAATAATTAATTTTTTTTAGGTCCCATTCATGCATGTTTTGAATTTTGACTTAATTAAAATATAAAAGCCCTATATACAATGTACATAATTAATTATTTGAATTTTGTGTTAATTAAAATATAAAAGTCATGAACATAATCAGTATCCAATTAAAAGAACATTAGTGTACAGTCGCATGCATTCATTTAGCATTCAATTAAAATTCACTATCCCATTAAAAGTCAATTCACATTAAAAGCCACATCCAATTAAAACACACATTCAATTAAAAAGCCCATTTATTATGTACACAAAAAGCCCGCACGTACAGTGTACACAGCCACATTCAATTAACCTAAAATCTTTCAAAAGCCGCTCACGCGTTTTGACACACGCTTCGTCTTCTCCGGTTGTGCTTCGTCCTCTCCTTCAGATCTGTTCTTGTCTATCCAACTTCAGATCCATCCTTGCCCTTCCAACTTCAGATGTCCGTCGGCCTTCTCTCGTCACATTTTCGACCGCCGTGTGTCAAACTTCAACCCACCTTGACAACAGTCCGTGATCAACGCATCCGGCCTCTCTTGATCGGATCGGAGCCGAATTTCGTACCGGTACCCGTGTCGTGTCGTGTGGACACGCGTACGTCGGTGGTAAGTGGCGAGTCCAGGTAACATAGCTTGTAACTGGTGCAATCGCTCCGCCATTCTTTCCAACGCTCGATACCTGAACTCATCTTCCTAAGTGTTTTGTTGATGCGCACCCACCACCGTGATCGGCGATGGTGGCGTGCGAGGTATGTTGGGTGGCCTGCTGCACCGCCCCGCTACGACCGCGTTAGCGATCTTTTCTCTGGTTATTGTCACCAACGGTTGACCAGTCTGCTTACGTCCGCCTTCGCTGGTTTTACCGCTTGCGCCTCAGCTCCTCCCGATTGCACGCTGGTCAGATCTGGCTGCAGCTGCACTTGAACCACCGGTCCCTGGAGTGCTCGAGCATCCTGCACTTGGCTCAAGCCCACAATAGCTACAGGGACCGCCGATAAACTCCTTAAGCCATGAAGAGGCATTGAAGTCATCAGAGTCTAAGAAGATTCGGAGAAGCCCGGTAGAGGGCTAACTCCGAACGGCCGCGTTGTTGTCCACGCATTATCGAAAGTAACCTCTAAGGTCCTCCTTGGGATTTCGCACGCCGTGATTATGGTGAAGACATGCTTTCGATTCCCACAGACGGCCCCAAATGGTAGGTAAAGACCTCCGACCGGCTGAAATCGGCTTGATCTTGAGCTCTTCCGCCGGTTGAACGCCTTTAGACCTGCAAAAACTCTCACACCGAAGGGATTTCCTGGTGAAGAGCCTCTGATGTTTAAATGAGCACTTGTGGAAGAAGGTGAAGTGCAAAAAGTATATGGAGTGTGAACGTAATGACTGAAATCATATGTCTCACCCCTATTTATAAAGGTGAGGTACTTGCTTCTAGAAGGCTGACCGAAGATGGTGAGCTGGCTGCCCGAGCTGCCCGATAGTAAAGCCAGTACTGCCTACTGCCAGAGGTGGTTGCAGGGTGCGGACAATCATGTAATGCCACGTGTAGCACTAATTATGGCAAGATTCTTTCTTATCCTTTAGGCCTTCGTATTAGGCCACTTAATAGCACGACCGACTCGAGGTCTATTGAGGTAGAATATTGATTGTCCTGAATCAAGTGTTATTTTTCGGGTCGATCATACAACCATCCATGTCTACAGGTCGAGTTTCTATTGGCCATCCAAGTGCCTAGATCGACCTGTTGCCTTGCATCCCTTATGTTGTCTTCCAGACAGAAGGCTCTTAGTCTAGAGTTGGACGGCGTTCGACCACCACCAATCTTGGTGTGGTTCTGCTCGACCGGAGCCCAATCGATCGGTTTATTCCCGTAGGTGTTGTATCCCACATCAAATTTTATTTAAAATATAAAACTTTTTTAGTTACATATCCTAAGAAGTGAAGGGTATGGAGAGAATCCAACAGAGTAAAGAATAAATTTATTAGAATCATAGCATAATGAAAGATGGGATCTGGCTAGGACAAGCTATCAGATGATAATTTTGTTTTTAACATATTTAATATTAATTTTTCTAAAATAATACCCACTTTTTAAGAAAGATAAATGGAGATAATAATGAATATTGGTACCACCATGTGAGGGCCATTCTGTTAGGTTGAAAATTTATGAAAATTTGTTCACACCATCCAACTCATAATTTATTTTCAACAAGTTCTATGTAGTGGTATGCCTCCACTAAGTTGAGCCAAAAAAATAAAAAAAAAATAAAAAAAATTAAGATTAAAGTACTTCAGATTAGCACAATAGTTAAACTGGGACCTAATCTATGTGATGACAATCATTGAAGTGAAGTTGTTAAGTGATTAGAAGGACTTAGTCTAACTAATGAAATTTCTTTTTATTTTCTTTATAAACCTATTTGCAGTGTGAAAACTTTGTTATTTTGTTTGCTTTGCAAACGAAAATGAATGTTGTGGTTTTTTTTTTTTTTTT